TCAAATGGGCCAACAGGCCTCCTTGGTTAAAACCCCAGAATCTTGTACCATTGATGTATGCTGTGTCTCAGAAACACATACAGAATCCCATTGTGGTCATTCACTTGACCTCACCTCGGCAAAACGGAGAGCCAACGAGATACACCCTACGTGTATCTGGTGACCCGATGGCCAGTTCTCGTGGACTGGCAGGTGTAGGCATAGCACTAAGCATGAGGGCGGAACAAGCACTGCTAGAGTGGATCCCCGTCAACAGTCGTCTATGTGCTGTTCGGCTAAACGGCTCCGTAAGAACTCGGAAGGATGGGGACACACGTCGTTGCCTTTTCGTCGTTTCTGCCTACGCTCTCACTGACTGCAGCTCAGATGATGTGAAAGATGAATTTTACAGAAACCTGTCCGAACTTCTTCAGAAAGCTAAACGTTCAGACATAGTACTCGTAGGGGGTAACTTTAATGCTCAGATAGGTAGTTTAAACCAAACAGAAGGGCATTTAGGTGGATATTTTAGCATTCCGGAACAGCGAACAGATAATGGTGACCGTCTGCTGCAACTGTGCTCAGACAATCGCTTATTTTTAGCAAACACAAATTTTAAGCATAAGGAGAGACATCGTTTAACATGGCGACCCCCTACACCAAACCAACGATGGACTCAAATAGACCATACTGCCATCAGTCATCGTTGGAGAGGGTCGGTAGAAGATTGTCGCTCATTCTGGAGTACCTGCTTGGACTCCGACCACGCCCTAATACGGGCACGCATCTGCTTGCGCCTCACCGGACGCAAAAAAGCCACATTAAAAAGACCCATTAGAACTGAGTTGAGTAACGAGAAAACCAAAAATAGGTTCCAGCAACAAGTGAGGTCACACTTAAGTAGCTGACCAAGATGTTGCTTGAGAGGATGTACAAGCAGCTGTGGAAGCAGCAGTGACATCTATTAGTGATTTAAACCAAAGAGTCACAAAAAACAATGGATTTCTTCTAAGTCTATTGCACTGATAGGTTCTTGTAAACTCATCCCATCAGGCTCTAAACACGAAGAGCGAAAACAAATCAGATCTAAGTTAAGCGAAGGTCTAAGGAACGACCGTGAGCAGTGGTGGGCAATGAAAGCAAAAGATGGAAAATGCGGCGGCTGTAGGTAACACAAGACAGCTCTTCGGACTAATAAAAGAAGCTGAGACTAAGAAGTCAAGTGTAAGTGAGACGATCTTGGAAAAGGACGACACTATTATCTGCTTCCGGTCTAGACGTTCTGGACGATGGGCGGAACACTTTAAGGAGCAGTTCAGCTGGCCTTCATCTACTCTACAAGTACCCACCATTTCCGGACAGTGAGAATGTAACACTGAAGTAGGTCCCGCGACTCTAGCTGAAGTTTAGAAGGATGCAGCTAATCTAAAACGAGAAAGAACAGCTGGTCCAAATGGATTGTCTCCAGATGTCTTTAAGTATGGTGTTCCAATTTTAACAATTAGGTTGGCTAATATTTTAGCTAAAATCTGGGAGTTGGACGTAATTCCATCTGATTGGTCAAAATGGTCATGTGATAGCCATAGAGGGATTAGGTTGACTAACATAGCATCTAAAATACTAGCCTCAATTATTATCGGACGCTTAAGACTTGTGAACTGCAAACACGAGAAAATCAGGCTGGCTTCAGACCTGGTCGTGGCTGCATCGACCGCATATTCACTATTCGTCAGGTTCTAGAACACAGGCATGCTTATCGGCGTCCGACAATGGTGGTCTTTCTTGCCTTTAAAGCAGCATTCGCAACCTCAAGTGGTGTCCGTTAAGGCTGTCCACTTTCCCCATTTTTGTTTAACTTCATCATAGATCTACTGATGGAAATAACATTCTCGTCGACTGAGTTCTCGGGTATTGATCTCCATCCAGGAGGTCCACTTATTGACTTAGAATACGCAGATGACATAGTCCTGTTTGGTGAGGACGCTGACAAAATGCAGAGTCTTCTGGTAGCACTGAGCAACAATGCCAGGATGTTTGGAATGCGCTTCTCTCCCTCTAAATGCAAGTTGTTGCTTCAGGACTGGTCTGCGTTAACACCTGAACTAAGGATAGGGAGTGAAGTAGCCGAACGCGTCGACAACTTCACATATCTTGGGAGTCTGATCAGCCCTAATGGGTTGGTATCGGACGAAATCTCAGCACGGATTCGAAAAGCTCGCTTGGCTTTTGCCAACTTACGTCACCTGTGGCGAAGGCGAGATATCCGTCTACCAATAAAAGGACGAGTATACTGCGCGGCAGTCCGTTCTGTTTTAATTTACGGTAGCGAAACATGGCCATTAAGAGTAGAAGACACTCATAAGCTATTAGTATTTGACCACAGATGTCTTAGAAATATTGCTGGCGTCTGCTGGGATCACCGGGTAAGTAATAGTGAGCTTAGACGCAGGGTATTAGGGAATGATGGTAAATCGGTTGATGAGGTTATGAATCTTCATCGACTGAGATGGTTGGGCCACGTGTTACGTATGCCTGAACACCGATTATCACGACGTGCAATGCTATCCGGTATTGGAGATGGTTGGAAGAAAGTTAGGGGCGGCCAAACCTAAACGTGGCATCAGTGCTTGAAGTCACTAACTTGTAGTCTGAGCCATGTTGGTAGATGCAGACTACTTGGTTGGGGTCCGCGTGACTATCGTAACCAATGGTTGGAGACTCTTGGTGACATGGCCCAGAACCGATCACAATGGCGTAGGTACATACACTCTCTGTCTTCCATCAAACCGTGAGATTAAAATTGCTTTATCTTTCTTTCTGCGAACTAATTCTTTCTCCTTGTATCATATCATCATATGCAATATTTCTTTTATACATTACTACTATTGAATGAACTACTATGAATTTGGTGTTCATATTGTTGTGCTAAAGAGGTATGGCAATTTGGACCGATGTATATATGTGCCTGGTCCTACGTTGTGGCTGACTGATTGCATCTATCTCTTCTGTAGATGCCGTCGAAATTCACTGACTTTTCCTAACCTTTTAGTGTGAGTTACCAGTAGATATTACTGCAGTTTCCACAGTTTTTTGAACATCATACCAAGCTACCTCGGGTTGTGTATCAATTTCATAGTTGACTAGCTCCTTCTCTAGTTCCTGATATATATTCTCAACCTTGTCATCATTAAGTTGGACTCTAAGAAGTTTTCTTGCTTTAGCTTTCCTACGTCTAGAAAGACACGGACAAATACGTGCTCCAACTAGAGCATGATCCGAGTCTAAACATGTGCGACTGTCTTCATTTGAACCCGTTCAACGGTTGGTAATGGCAATGTGATCTATTCGATTCCATCGACGAGTCTATTGTGGAGATTGCCACGTCAGATGATGTTTCTCCCTATCTTTTAAAGTTAGTGTTTGCCGGAAATAGATAGTTATCTGAGCATAGCTGCAACACACGGTCGCCATAATATGTTCTGTGATCCGCCTTAGTTCCTCTCGGTTTGGTTTAGTTTACTTACTTGAGCAGTAAAATCACCTGCCGATATTACTACATCAGAGAGTATTCTTTTGAAGGAATTAGGATAGCTTCCTATAAAATTCATTTTAACTTCGCCCGAGCTGCAATCAGTGAGGACGTAAGCAAATAACGAAAAGGAGACGGCTTGTGTCACAATCTTTTCGAGTTATTACTGTCCCGTTTAATCGAAAAGTGAACTAGCGACTGTCTATTGGAATCCGGTCTAGAGGAGCCTGTTGTGCTTCAGAACATTATTCCATACCTACACCAAAGAGGCCGCAGAAAGTAGCAGTGGGATTTCCAGATACTCCGAGGGTGAATCGTGCCAGCTCTTTATATTAACAAGGTGAGGTCAAATGAATGACCGTACTTGGATCTTATATGTGCGTTTGGGAGACTCAGTATATATCGAAGGCGCAAGATTCTAGAGTCCAGGCTAAGGAAGCTTGATGTCCTGTCTGACAAAAGATTCGGGCACTCAAAGTCCCAACATGTAGATTAGAGCGTGGTTTCAGGCGACCAGTAATAACATTTCATGAACTCAAATGATTAACATTGGTGGCTCGTGGTGAAAGAGATAAACAAGAAGGGTTAGTCATGGGGTCGGAAAAATTGTTAATAGGTGACTAAGGGGTTTGATCGTCAACAAGATAATCTCGGGTGCTGATAAAGATATGAGGACAGTTGTCACTTACCAGTTCCCCATGCCAAGCAGAAGAAGCTGAACCAGTGACAGCCCTGGCGACCTGGGAGCATGATCACACAGCCCAAGGGACAACTGCTTGAGTCCGATCACTCACACCCTTCTTATGGAACGATTTCGATGTGTTATCTCCTCAGTTCCGAAGGCCTTGCCACCAGAGACTGATCTGGGTGGGGTGATGTGAGGTGTGATACTTTCAGAACGATCCTTTATGACCACTTCTTTCTGTTGTGAGAAGGAAGCATCACTGCAGATGTTGGTTGTCTGGGGGAAACATCTTACTGCTGTTTTAATGCCTCTCTACAGTCAGCAGTACGACTTTTCCCTCGTGCCTCAAATCACTGATTCCAGTGTTACTGTTCTCCAACCTACCTGGGTGACATGGCAGAACCTGAAGTAACATGTGTTCCAGTCAATATAGGTCAACTGAATCGTCACAATAGGCAAGCTTGACACCCACTTCAATGTAGCAGCTACGATCAGGCTATAACCAAATAGAAATAGTCTGAAATGATCATACCGTCAAATGACTGCTAAGCTCTTTAATTTCCACGATTCAAAGTAGGACAGTTTGTTTTAATGAGTATCGGAAATAATGCACAACGGAAAGTAGTTGCCATAACCATTACACGCTTAATTCTTCGCTGGTTTGAAACAATTCCACTCATCAAAATTTGGGAATATGTATGAATTTATAGATTATTAGATTTCAGTTTGTAATTCCGTTTACATAGACTTGCACATTTTAGTGAACTATTCATTAGGTTATACGATTCATGTGTATTTATTATTAGTCTAATGAATCCATATTTCAGGGAGATCTTTATGCTTTTCAAGGCCAAGAAAGTGATCTAGTTTTGTATTGAATTCCATTGAACGTTTGTTGACCGAAAGAAATTGAATTGGCATAGATTTAGCCAACCATGGTATTAGGTGACAAGCATTCATATAATTAGCCAACTTTTGTTGATTTTTCTTTTGTTCGTTTATCGGAAATCGTGGATTATAAGCTGTTTTCAAGACAAAAAAATACACAGAATTAAATAAAATTCTGTACACTACTAAAGAGATAAATACCTACAGATATTAAGGTGTTGACTATTTCAGTATTTCTTGAACTATTAAAAGTTTTATCCATAAGGTTGTATACCTAGTCTTAGTAACTAAATGAGTGAATAAGTTGTTACATCACTATTCGTTCTCAGTTCTACTCTCATGCATTATGCAACATCGGAATCAAATCAATACAACAACGTTATTCATCTAGTAGATTCCTCTCATTTTTACTACAAGGAAAGCACTAAAATTGCGTCAAGGAGCTAAAATTTCTCCCTTTAGATTAATTAAAATAGCCTAGTTTCATTGTCGAAAGTTTTGTAAGCTGCGTAATGGTAATAACTCATATTTGCCTCGTTTGATATACTTTTCAAATTATATTTTTCTTCGTTAATATATTTTATTATTAGTCTATCATATGTTAATACAGTGTTTCAGAAAACTGGTTCTCGTACAACTTTTCATTTCTTATTACTTTTAAACGGGAAGCTGTCAGTTAATACCTAGTTATTCTGACTAGTTAAATTTTCGAATATCGGATCAATATTTGGTAAGGTACATAGACAAATTATTTTACTGGCTGTTTTACTACCCAATTCTTTGTATCAATGTGAAATGAGTTAAATAAACCTTTTCTATCCTCATCTATGGCTTTTAAGTCAGTGATTTGGTAGTGCAGGTTTTTGAATTGCGTTTGTGTATCAATCTCTTGTTGATATTGCTATTCAGAATGAGTTTTAAATTCACGACACGGTAATTCATTATAAACCTTGTTTCGCTTTATGATTGACAGACATATGTTTCTCAACAGATTGGAGAAACTCACTGTAGTGAATATGATTGTAACCATATAATTGTTCTCTTATGTAATCTCATTAATACTCACAAAGCAATTTCATTTTGTTTTTTTAATTATTTTCATCAATTATGTAGTCATTTGTAGTTATTATTATTTTCGGCTCTATTCCAAAGAAAAAATTCTTTTTAAATCCACTAACTAAAGTGTGTCAGACATTGGCCCCTAATTATACTACTTCTTGTAATTCTAGACTATTTACACTTGATGAAAAAATTTGAAATATAGTGAATTTATTTGATTGTGAAAGGACGGTTTTTGTTAATGAAGTTGTGTCTAAGTTTTAAATTTCTTGATATTGTGCATTCTTCGTTTAAAGATGTATCTTTGCTCAGAACATATCTTGATCAAATCTGATGATTAATAGCTTTAATAACTATTACTACTAACAAAATTAACTCTTTCAATCGATCAATTTTTAGCATGTCTTACAATTCAAAATTCACTAATATTTTAATATTTTATTGTTTACCTTTTAAATGTAATCCCATATAAATCAGTGCTGATCGTTTAATTGTAATGAATGGAAACTTTGGCCTTTCTTGACTAATAGAAGATAATGCCCTAAGAAGGGCTACAGATAATGTTTGTTCAAGAAAACCAGGCAATGGTAATGATTTCACTGTGATAGGGTTTGCAACTGGTGGCAATTTGTGGGGCAGTTGTAGATTAGCAAAAAGAATAGGTTTTCTGTATAAATAAAAATTATTTAAAAAATAAATATTTCCAACGATATTCTGCAGAATGAAAAAATCATTAGTCTCTGAGATAATTGGTGTCAGTAGATGAGCATAACTGTTGATTACCCAAGGGATATCAAATACTGACTGATAATTAAGATCATACACTTAAACCTATAACAGATTCCTCATTCAACATGAACACTTACCGTTTGATCGATTTTGCTTGTTTCCCAAAGTAAATAAACAAATACAGTATGAAGAACGATTATATCGAATAGTGTTTATATAATTGAAAGTTAATCTTAAGCAGAAGCAGAATGTGTTCTATAGTACGCACTCACAAGTGGTAGGCTACTCGTGTAACTTAGCCTCATATATGTTGTAAAGGCAAATAATTTTAAAGATCAAAACCCTTAAACCAAAAAAATCAACGAGTTATACAACATTTATCAAATTTCTGTTAATTACTATCAAGTGTGATCAAACCAAAAAAGTTATTTGTAAATTCACGGTAGATTAGCTTAAAATCGGTCACAGTAGTGTATTCGCATTAATTATTTATCTTTAGATTTTGCGCTTAGGACCACTCTATATTTGGGGTTCTTTGATCTTACGTAGTCAGTCCTTTGGAACTATGCTTCTTACATTTAGTTTAAACTTGAACTGACACCTATTTTTCACCCCTCTGTTCACGCTAGGAAGTGTTTAATCCATCTTATTAAATGGTATTTCTGACGTATAAAAGGTCAATGATAACTTTTTTTCAGTTCATATCTCCCCACTAACCTTTGTTGATTGATTATTCCCGCTTTTAGTTTGCTGATTTTTGTTACTGTATGGTCATAATTGTCAATACATAAAAAGTTGATCTGCTACAGTCCTAACTTCGAATATCAATCTTTTCACTGAGTTTTTGACTTCTATCTCTTCTATTGCTCGGCGTACTTTGCATCAGTCGTCCGATCTGTCCAGTTCGCGTACATCCTGTCTCGTATCTGAAGAATTCGCCAATTATTAGTAATTCGAAATCACCAGATGCTATCTTAAAATATAACCATTTCTCATTTCGTTAATTGTTATATTCATTGAGTTGAATTGAAGTGAAGTAGAATGGATTGACGCAAATTCGTTTTAGACCCTACTTTGTCTTTAACTAGTTGATTATGTTTTCAGCAATTTTAATTGGATAGCATCATTAAATATTCACAATATCCCATTAATTAATTTTCTCTCCAATAGACTATCAAACAGTAAAACTTCATGACAAAACTGAGAAGCCAAGTTTTATTAGTGTACCGCTAACCTGTAAAATATCTGACTTCAGACAATCAAGAGATATCCGTTTTAAAAATGGTTTTAATTTTAGACCACTTTTGTTATTTTTTCAAGATTATCTATTTGAATGATATTTTCGTAAACTTCATTTTATTTACATTAAGACTTATGACAATTATATTTGGGTGTTTCTTCTTTTCCTAAAAAGAAACAATTTTTGGGTTTGTTTTCTTTATTTCTTCTTGTTACTTACTGATATTTTAAGTTGTCGAATTTTCACAGAACTCATTCTCTAATCAGTCAGTTCGCAACTTAGCAAAATTTGATTACTTATGCATAAATGATGTATGTTTCAATGGATCATGCTTTGAACTGAGCATCACTAACTATGATTTTTCGCAGTCTTTTATAAGTCACTACAGCTATACTGAAGTGAATATCTGTACGCTATGACTCAATTATTAACCATATTTTTGCTGCAGAGTAATCAATGTCGAGGTTAGACATAGAGTACTAGGCGAATATGAAAAATTGATTGATGAGGTAGGAAAACTACAACTGAGTTGGTTAAAGCGTGTGTTACGTGAGCCCAACTACTGCCTACCTCGATGGGTCTTTTTTGGTGCAATAGTAGACTGGAAGAAAGCTAGGGGTGGCCAAATCAGAACATTGCATCAATCCACGAAGTGGCTGACAACTGACATGTTAATAGATCCAGACTACCTTGTTGGTGTTCGGGTTATTATCGTAACTGATGGTTAAATACTTTGCATCACTTGGCTTAAAATCGTTTGCAATGGTGCAGGTGCATCAACTCCTTGTTTTCCTTTTATTCAAACAATACCTGGTGAAATTAGTAGTTGTAAATCATTCTATGACATATTCGATACTTATTAAACCATTTTTCAACAGTCACTGTATGATTTTTATGAAATCTTGAAATCATAAATTATATGATTTAACTATGAAATGAAAACAGTTATAAAATAATTTCAGCCACCTTTCTCTTGTTACGCTTACCTGAGAAAGTTCAATAGACAATTATTTGAACAGAAAGCATATATTTTGTGATCGTAATTAGCCAAGTATTCCGGTAGTCCTAATTTTAATCCTTCATAACGTAATTTACTATCATAAAAACAAACCGGACAATAGCCATTTAGGGCTAATTGTTTGGGGAATGAATCATGTATTTGTTTTAAATTATCTCCCTTCAATCGTATTGGTATTAGTTCGTTTTCTGGTAATGCATTAATATTATTTGGTGAAACATATCTAGTTGGATTTGCTAGAAATGCTTGTAGTTCACTTGGTCCAGCCATACGATAATAACGTCCTTCATATTCAGCGGTAAAACGCATTGATGTATGGATATAAATTAAATTATTCTTTTCATTACCATTATTATTATCATCATCATCAATGGAAGTGGTAACATCACTCTTGATATCATTGTTTTGATTATTCACGTTGGGATATTCATTTTCTTTACTACTGTAATAACCATTATTATGTAACATTTTCTGCAAATTATGTTTTGTTGAACTGATATGATATGATTTGTTTATTTGATTGTCATTGATATTTAACTTAACAATGAATCGTTGTTTAGGTTCATCAATTGTATCTTCTAACTCTTGCCTTTCCCTCAACGCGACAGGACAATACTGACGGAATTCACTGGTTAATTTATCATATTCACACTGTTCAATTCCTAATTCAGCTATAGAAGCTGCTTTATCTAAGTCATTAATATTCAGTTGTTTAAAAAAAGCAGTGAAGAAAACAAAATGAATTTCAGTAAATGAAAAGTCTCAGAGTGTATTGTCAACAAGATAATCTCGGGTGCTGATAAAGATATGAGGACAGTTGTCACTTACCAGTTCCCCATGCCAAGCAGAAGAAGCTGAACCAGTGACAGCCCTGGCGACCTGGGAGCATGATCACAGCCCAAGGGACAACTGCTTGAGTCCGATCACCCACACCCTTCTTATGGAACGATTTCGATGTGTTATCTCCTCAGTTCCGAAGGCCTTGCCACCAGAGACTGATCTGGGTGGGTGATGTGAGGTGTGATACTTTCAGAACGATCCTTTATGACCACTTCTTTCTGTTGTGAGAAGGAAGCATCACTGCAGATGTTGGTTGTCTGGGGGAAACATCTTACTGCTGTTTTAATGCCTCTCTACAGTCAGCAGTACGACTTTTCCCTCGTGCCTCAAATCACTGATTCCAGTGTTACTGTTCTCCAACCTACCTGGGTGACATGGCAGAACCTGAAGTAACATGTGTTCCAGTCAATATAGGTCAACTGAATCGTCACAATAGGCAAGCTTGACACCCACTTCAATGTAGCAGCTACGATCAGGCTATAACCAAATAGAAATAGTCTGAAATGATCATACCGTCAAATGACTGCTAAGCTCTTTAATTTCCACGATTCAAAGTAGGACAGTTTGTTTTAATGAGTATCGGAAATAATGCACAACGGAAAGTAGTTGCCATAACCATTACACGCTTAATTCTTCGCTGGTTTGAAACAATTCCACTCATCAAAATTTGGGAATATGTATGAATTTATAGATTATTAGATTTCAGTTTGTAATTCCGTTTACATAGACTTGCACATTTTAGTGAACTATTCATTAGGTTATACGATTCATGTGTATTTATTATTAGTCTAATGAATCCATATTTCAGGGAGATCTTTATGCTTTTCAAGGCCAAGAAAGTGATCTAGTTTTGTATTGAATTCCATTGAACGTTTGTTGACCGAAAGAAATTGAATTGGCATAGATTTAGCCAACCATGGTATTAGGTGACAAGCATTCATATAATTAGCCAACTTTTGTTGATTTTTCAGGTTCTAGAACACAGGCATGCTTATTGGCGTCCGACAATGGTGGTCTTTCTTGCCTTTAAAGCAGCATTCGCAACCTCAAGTGGTGTCCGTTAAGGCTGTCCACTTTCCCCATTTTTGTTTAACTTCATCATAGATCTACTGATGGAAATAACATTCTCGTCGACTGAGTTCTCGGGTATTGATCTCCATCCAGGAGGTCCACTTATTGACTTAGAATACGCAGATGACATAGTCCTGTTTGGTGAGGACGCTGACAAAATGCAGAGTCTTCTGGTAGCACTGAGCAACAATGCCAGGATGTTTGGAATGCGCTTCTCTCCCTCTAAATGCAAGTTGTTGCTTCAGGACTGGTCTGCGTTAACACCTGAACTAAGGATAGGGAGTGAAGTAGCCGAACGCGTCGACAACTTCACATATCTTGGGAGTCTGATCAGCCCTAATGGGTTGGTATCGGACGAAATCTCAGCACGGATTCGAAAAGCTCGCTTGGCTTTTGCCAACTTACGTCACCTGTGGCGAAGGCGAGATATCCGTCTACCAATAAAAGGACGAGTATACTGCGCAGCAGTCCGTTCTGTTTTAATTTACGGTAGCGAAACATGGCCATTAAGAGTAGAAGACACTCATAAGCTATTAGTATTTGACCACAGATGTCTTAGAAATATTGCTGGCGTCTGCTGGGATCACCGGGTAAGTAATAGTGAGCTTAGACGCAGGGTATTAGGGAATGATGGTAAATCGGTTGATGAGGTTATGAATCTTCATCGACTGAGATGGTTGGGCCACGTGTTACGTATGCCTGAACACCGATTATCACGACGTGCAATGCTATCCGGTATTGGAGATGGTTGGAAGAAAGTTAGGGGCGGCCAAACCTAAACGTGGCATCAGTGCTTGAAGTCACTAACTTGTAGTCTGAGCCATGTTGGTAGATGCAGACTACTTGGTTGGGGTCCGCGTGACTATCGTAACCAATGGTTGGAGACTCTTGGTGACATGGCTCAGAACCGATCACAATGGCGTAGGTACATACACTCTCTGTCTTCCCTTAACCTAAGAGATTAAAATCGCTTCATATCTTTCTTTCTGCGAACTAATTCTTTCTCCTTGTATCATATCATCATATGCAATATTTCTTTTATACATTACTACTATTGAATGAACTACTATGAATTTGGTGTTCATATTGTTGTGCTAAAGAGGTATGGCAATTTGGACCGATGTATATATGTGCCTGGTCCTACGTTGTGGCTGACTGGTTGCATCTATCTCTTCTGTAGATGCCGTCGAAATTCACTGACTTTTCCTAACCTTTTAGTGTGAGTTACCAGTAGATATTACTGCAGTTTCCACAGTTTTTTGAACATCATACCAAGCTACCTCGGGTTGTGTATCAATTTCATAGTTGACTAGCTCCTTCTCTAGTTCCTGATATATATTCTCAACCTTGTCATCATTAAGTTGGACTCTAAGAAGTTTTCTTGCTTTAGCTTTCCTACGTCTAGAAAGACACGGACAAATACGTGCTCCAACTAGAGCATGATCCGAGTCTAAACATGTGCGACTGTCTTCATTTGAACCCGTTCAACGGTTGGTAATGGCAATGTGATCTATTCGATTCCATCGACGAGTCTATTGTGGAGATTGCCACGTCAGATGATGTTTCTCCCTATCTTTTAAAGTTAGTGTTTGCCGGAAATAGATAGTTATCTGAGCATAGCTGCAACACACGGTCGCCATAATATGTTCTGTGATCCGCCTTAGTTCCTCTCGGTTTGGTTTAGTTTACTTACTTGAGCAGTAAAATCACCTGCCGATATTACTACATCAGAGAGTATTCTTTTGAAGGAATTAGGATAGCTTCCTATAAAATTCATTTTAACTTCGCCCGAGCTGCAATCAGTGAGGACGTAAGCAAATAACGAAAAGGAGACGGCTTGTGTCACAATCTTTTCGAGTTATTACTGTCCCGTTTAATCGAAAAGTGAACTAGCGACTGTCTATTGGAATCCGGTCTAGAGGAGCCTGTTGTGCTTCAGAACATTATTCCATACCTACACCAAAGAGGCCGCAGAAAGTAGCAGTGGGATTTCCAGATACTCCGAGGGTGAATCGTGCCAGCTCTTTATATTAACAAGGTGAGGTCAAATGAATGACCGTACTTGGATCTTATATGTGGGTTTGGGAGACTCAGTATATATCGAAGGCGCAAGATTCTAGAGTCCAGGCTAAGGAAGCTTGATGTCCTGTCTGACAAAAGATTCGGGCACTCAAAGTCCCAACATGTAGATTAGAGCGTGGTTTCAGGCGACCAGTAATAACATTTCATGAACTCAAATGATTAACATTGGTGGCTCGTGGTGAAAGAGATAAACAAGAAGGGTTAGTCATGGGGTCGGAAAAATTGTTAATAGGTGACTAAGGGGTTTGATCGTCAACAAGATAATCTCGGGTGCTGATAAAGATATGAGGACAGTTGTCACTTACCAGTTCCCCATGCCAAGCAGAAGAAGCTGAACCAGTGACAGCCCTGGCGACCTGGGAGCATGATCACACAGCCCAAGGGACAACTGCTTGAGTCCGATCACTCACACCCTTCTTATGGAACGATTTCGATGTGTTATCTCCTCAGTTCCGAAGGCCTTGCCACCAGAGACTGATCTGGGTGGGGTGATGTGAGGTGTGATACTTTCAGAACGATCCTTTATGACCACTTCTTTCTGTTGTGAGAAGGAAGCATCACTGCAGATGTTGGTTGTCTGGGGGAAACATCTTACTGCTGTTTTAATGCCTCTCTACAGTCAGCAGTACGACTTTTCCCTCGTGCCTCAAATCACTGATTCCAGTGTTACTGTTCTCCAACCTACCTGGGTGACATGGCAGAACCTGAAGTAACATGTGTTCCAGTCAATATAGGTCAACTGAATCGTCACAATAGGCAAGCTTGACACCCACTTCAATGTAGCAGCTACGGTCTGGCGAAGGACTATGGTTCTCATTTCATGAAAATGATAGGTTGGTACTGTGTATTATGCAACATATAAGATGAAGCGATTTAGATATAACTTACGAGCAGTTATTCTTTCCATATATTCTTCAATATGTCTCATCCTATGCTTAATTAAATAAATCACTTTACGCCATAATAACCATCGATTTTGAACTGCTTCTAATTCAACTAGAATTCCATTACGGGATAAATACCATTCTTTAAGTTGTAGGATGATGTTATCATAAGCTGCTAAACGAATAACTAACTCTTGTGCAATATCCACTTCTGGTTCAGGCAATTTGAATCCTTCTTCACTCCTTTCTGGTTCATTATCTGAATAGTGTTCTTCTGCAGTTCCATTTGTCGTCATATGTTTTTCATCATACGTAAGAAATGAAAGGCTTGATTTGGACAGTTTTAGTTGATTTGTGTTTGATGATTGTGTAATTCCTCGTACAATTAATTCTTCTCTAAATCAATGATATCAAATTATTATTAATTATGTTAAGAAATCCATTTGTTATTGTTACAACTGTCTTACTCCGAACAGCCATTCCCAGAATAATAATAATATTATATAATAATAGATACTACTGATATTTTATGTGTTGTAACATCCTTTAAATCCTATACCGTTTTGAAATCTTCGTTAATATTAACGCATTTAACATCAAAACTTCACAAAAAATATAATTTCATCAAGTTGTTTTCATTTTATGGGTTTTCATAAAAGTAGAACGATACTGAATAAGAATATCCAGTCATCAATCTCATCTTTTTATGAGAGATAAACTGCTTGTTGAAAAAACCTAAAGTCAGCTATTCTTCCAAACTATATAATTTGTTTATTATATGCTTCTAGCGCAATGAATTTAAAAAAAACCGAAAAAATAATCACTATGTGATCTCTAATAAATAATTTCTAGTAATTCTAGTATGAATTCATATCATGTAGAGTCAAACAAATAAAGTGTAAACTAGAAACCCAACAAAGATGTGGCTTGGGAACGTGATTCATTAGAAATTAGCTGAAAGTTTGAACAGCTCCATTTGATCTAAGTTATCCAATGTTATCGTGTTTATCACAAGACCTGGAGATCTTGTTTTCAATTTCGTGTCAAGCCATTGAATGCACCCTGCATGCATTCTCATAGGATAAAATATCTATCTGAGACATCTTAATTACCAACTCTTTTCCAATTGTTTTTAATTAGACATTAAAATTACTGTCAAAATTAAAGTAATTTAGTTTTACAAAACTATAGAAATATGTAATGTTATAAGTATTTGATTTGAAATATGTAGTTTGAACTTATCACTTATCTAGTTGAAAAATAAAACATTGTTTTTACTAATTATTACATGAAATGTAAGTGTATGCAACGAGAGGTTATTTTAAGGGCACTTGCTAATCAGTTAGTACCTTTCATAGGTCAGTACTTTTCAGTACATATATAAACGTTCTTCATACCAACCAGATATTAATTACCAAATTTAGTGAACACCAAACATTGTCAATTAGATGTTTCGTTTTAGCCTATATACTCTATTATTATGTCATTATAAAATACTGATTTGAAATTAGAACGACAATAGTGAATATCAATAAACGCACGGTGGTTTTGTGTTTTTTGATTTAATTTTTTTCCACCCCATTTTATGATAAACATTTATTGCACGGCCATTTGTGTATTTCTTTTTTCGAGTGAAATTTTTTTTCGTCCCTTTGGAAAAAATTTTCATCCCCATCTTCCAATAATTTTCATTCTGTTTCGTCCAATCAAATAACTAGTTTTGAATCTAATATAGGACTTCCGATCTCTATGTAAATGAGAATCCCTCACCACATAATGACTGTACGTGGCTCTTTCATACGTTCTAATGGCGCTCTTCAACGCTTCAAGAGATTGGAACGCTACGAGATACAATGTGCTCAAGAACGAACAGGTTATCGGTTTCTGTGACAACATGATGAATGACGGAGCTCGTGCTCTGCATGCTACTACCGTCCATAATAATTGTAAGAAAATGTGCTCTGTCGTCATGTCCTGATATTTTATATAGACTTGAACAAATAAACGACCAATTATAACGAACTCAAAACTAGTTATTTGATTGGATGAATTATTGGAAGATGGGAATGAAAATTTTTCCAAAGGGACGAAAAAAAATTTCACTCGAAAAAAAATACAAAAATGGCCGTGCAATAAATGTTTACCCCATTTTATAAAATTGATTTACGATCAACATGCTAAGTGATTATGATCTTTATTTGTACCCAGGACTATATTTCATTGGTCGATATTATCAAGTTTATTAACTAATGACATGGATTTTTGAATGATCATATAGGGCAGAGTTATCTTTGAAAACCATTCAATAGTGGGATCATTTTTGATAACTATTGTCGGTTGAAGTATAGTCTTGGGGTACAAATGAATATCATAATCACTTAGCATGTTGATCCTAAATCATATCTCAAAACACGTTATGGTTACATACTCATAAAATGATATGGAATGTAATAAGACCGTTTCTTTTTACATTGGTCTGTCTTTTTATTGGTTGGTTATTAGGCTGATGTTTATAGTGAGAAATATCGCCCTCATCAAGAAACTTAAAATATCTAACATAACTCTTCATATAATAACCGTTTGTACGGATTTTGGTAAAAATGCGACTAAATGTCAGTCGTTGATATTTAGACCAACATTTAAAACTTTTCAAATGAAAGTGTTATGAATTTTCATTACATTACTTTTTGAAAAAAACTTAAATATTAGGATTTCCTTTGTGATTTTAAACTTAACTGATATGCTCTAGATTATAAATGAAATCAATGTCGTACTTAGTGTTAGAAACTATATATAGATAGTTAAGCACAGATATAATCATCTTCATACATGAAGTTGTTTCTCTGTTTTATTGCAGGAATAAAATATTTTCTAGTAAACGGAATAATGTCTGGTATTGATTTATAATTACTAATAAGAGACCGCATTATACCATAAGAAAAATAATACCTCATGCATTAATTATATCCTGGGCCATCGAGTAAGTAATACAGTTGTTAGGAAACGGGTATTAGGTAAGGATGGCAAATCAATTGATGAAGTAGTGAAACTTCATCAGTTGAGATGACTGGGACACGTGTTACGTATGCCCAACCACTGACTGCCCCGACGTGCAATGTTTTATGGTGTAGGAATACGTTGAAAGAAAGCTAGGGGTGGCCAGACCAAAACATGGCACAAACCCATGAAGTCACTGACCAGTGGACTGAGCCATGTTGGTAGATGTAGACTACCTGGTTGGGATCCGCGAGACGATAGCAACCGATGGTTAGAGACCCTGAATGACATAGCTTAAAATCGTTTGCAATGGCGCAGGTGCATCCACTCTTTGTGTTCTCCCTAATTCTAATCTGAATTCGTCATGTCCCTTTTTTCCTCTCTCCAAGTTTATTTCACTGTATTATACTCTTTAAGTAACATCTCCAAACACTAATCTTCCCGATTACTGCTTATACTTTTACTACCTCTACCACTATGGGATTCGAATCGACAATTACATCTCTGTGCTAATGTGGTTTTAATAACTCGAACTGATATATGTACGTACAATGTTCTACGTTGTTGTTGGCTGACTGATAGTCAAAATACAAGAATAAAATATAAAACTACTTCTCATATATAAAATCTTATTACATAAGTTTATGACAAGATTTTAATTCTATCATTGGTTGATAATTAATATTTATTAATAATGTAAATCAACTAGTAAAACATACTTTTGTTTTTCATTTTTTACAACTAATTCAATAACAAGATTTGGTCGAACACCAAAAATCGATAACAATTCACCTTGTTCTTTAGTTAATGGATAATTTTCTAAAATATATCTGAATTGTAAATAGTGAATAAAATAATTTATATATGATTAATATCTAGTGTAATAATGAATATTACTTGTATAGAAGAAAAATGTGTAGTGAAACAATAAAGACAAAAATAAATGCTCAGAATAGTTGACAAATGAGAATTTTTGTATCATTTTCATGACTATCTATAATTGAGATTGTGTATTTAGATTGACTTAGTTAGTTTTATTCCGGATAAGGACACAATGATTAGTTAATTTTTCAAATTGATTGATCATTGAGTATTGATTAATATCATGTATTTCAAGTCATTCTTTGTGATGATCGAATTCTATCAAACGAGTTGAAATGTGGCCGCTAGTCTAATTGACTTGACATCATGTACATTATGCTAAAATGTAAAGTGGTGGTTAGAGGTAATTGATAGGAAGATATTAACTTAGATTTTGTGTTACTTGACACTTGTTAATCTTGAGGGAACTGGTGCTACCCTGACAAACTGGGTTCGGTATTAGTCAGCTTTATAGTCAGGAAAGTTACCATTTAATTATTTGGGCCTCGAATAATCTGTAAGACTGATATGTGTTTACAATTGGTTGATCATTGAAAAGTAATCAATTTCATGTATGTTAAGTCTCTCTTAGTAACCCTAAATCTAGATCTTGCAACTACCACCTTACATTATTGGTCAATATTTATGAATAAAATAGTTTATATTTACTCTCAATGAAAGTTATTCCGCCAATAAAACTGTACAACTATTTCAAAAATCTGATTTGTAGATAATTAAGACAGCATTTGTTAATTAATCATATACATAGTTCTCAAAACCTAAACAATAAACTGCCTTTATCATAAATCATATAAAATATTTAAATGTTTAATCGTAAGGTACTGAATTATGTCAGAGAATTTAACATTATTATTCGTATTTTTAGTTATTATCACTTTTAGATAGGTTACTTATATATATGTGTCAATCTACAATCTTAGGTTTATTTCTCAATAAGTGTATTTGTTATTTGAAATCAAAATGTCTACATAGCATTAAATTGTTCATTTATAGTTACGTAACTTAGAAATTCTCTTATCCTAATTAAATCACAGAAATATATGGTGAATTTTAATAAACCAATCAAGTAGAATTGAATCGTATGAGTTATTTAATTTCATTGGTATGCAATAACCTTTAAGAATGAACTTAAATTTATCTATCGTATAGTTTTCAAGATATAAAATATAGGAATTATTAACATGAAGTCAATACTTTGAAAGGTATACAACATAAAAAGAGGGATATTGAATGAGTCTACGATAATCTAAACTTAATTTCCTTGTAAAAGACTTATTTACTCACTATTCAATTATCTTATATAGTTAAAACTAAACAGAAGAGTACAAGCAACACCACAACTCAGGAATGCAATAAATGTGTTGATGATCAAATAACTATTTCCTTAAAGAAATATTTTGAAAATAAACCTTTTATTGTATATTACATTTGACTTCAGGCATCATGTTGGTTTTTCTGAATAAACTGTAGGCCGAAATGATAGTCTCTAATACCATTTTTGTTTTAACACTGTGCTAATATCAGTCCTATCAAACGTTCTTTAAACCTAGTTGATAAAGTTGACAGTTTTCCTAAATTTATTTATTCCTTATTTTTCGATTCAGTAATGTATGAATTTACTTCTCAATTCATTTTGATCATTGCTATTCTCCAAAGCTGATCAAACGTCCTGAAAGTCATGAGAAATATATTGATGAAACTTCATTTTATTAGCCTTTATATTGAGTAGAAGGTGTTGACTGAAAGATTTCTTGTGTTCGTCTATAAGTACTCACTACTAAACTTATTTTTTCAATGTGTCCAAGTATGTAATTTAAGTATAAAATGATCTATTTACAATAGAATAATTCACCTTCCCCTTAAAAAAACACACTGAAACTAGTGTATGAAAATGTTTCTAAGTTTATATTAGTCAGAAAATGTATTATTCTTGATGCAATTTTTATTTACATTAAAAATTAACTTACCCACGTGTGAAATAAATACCATTCATTAATAATGTTTGAATAGCTTGAGCTGTTAGTTCATCTGAAATACATTCACCTCGATTAAATTGTTCTCTAATTCTAGTAGCTAATGATGTATGCATATGACTTGGATCATTTAATACCCAACGTATTGAATCTCCAGCATTAATTACAGGTATATTATATTCTTTAGCTAAACGTTGAGCAACTGAATGAAATTTATATTTTATAAAATAACGTAGATTCTTATTAGGAAAATTTGTTTTAATTAACTTAAATCATGATTTGCATACATTTTAAATAAAACTAACCTTCATAGTTCATTTTAATTTCATTAGTTGACATCATGAGTCAATTGAAGCTAGACCACTATGGAAAACTTGGAAGCACTGGACGGCCATTTCATTCTAGTATGAGACTCCTCAGCAGTGCGCATCCACGATCCCGCCCCCCCCGCAAAACTCGAACCCAGGACCTATCAGTCTCACGCGCGAGCGCCTAACCATTAAACTATTAAGCCTGTATCAAACGGTGTTAATGTCTAACTTCAACCAATCCACAAAATTGCGCCACCGTATTTAATTGTCATTTAGTTGAAGCTAAAAACTACCCTATTTGATTGATTGGTTTTAGTATTATAGAAAATATGAGAAGCTTAATTTGATAGCTTTTCTTGTAAAATAATATAGTTTACAGCTCTCAATGACATTTGCTAGACAACTACTATGAACCAAAAAGGACTGGACAGCTGTTTTTTCTTAATACGGAACTCAGAAGTTCCCATCTACGATTAAGTCTTATTGCAGAACTTGAAGGCTCTAAGTTCGATCTGCGGTGTGGTCATGGATAGCAAGTATTGATGAGTCTTTTACTGGGATGACAAAGCTGTTCCTGTTTCATGGTTTCCAATGATTATATAAGTTCAGTTTGTGATTTATATCATAAAATCCAACAATCTTGAAAGATCCCTTACACTAATAAGATTTATATCTATTCATTTTTCTTTTCTACGAAACCATTTCAATTATTCGCGGTAGACATTTAAAAATCAGTATACTTCGAATGTACATCTTAACAAACACAATTCTTTCATATTATTTTTGGGAACAGTTTGAGCTGTTGTTGGTATTTCGGGCTGAAACATAAGCAGTCTTTGTTGCCATATATAAATACTGGGTGGATTCCCTCGATGTATCTACTATAATAAATGATATATTGAATAGAAGGATTTTCTGTAGCACTGTAATCATAGATTAGCGGTTCGTCCTAATTATGACTCGTCAGCCTTATGTAATAGGCGTCCTGGATTCCACTACTAGTTACCATTCTTCTTTTCTATATACGTCTTCCAGTAATTTCCTCATGAAATTGTATCACTTGGATATTTAACGTCAACATTATTTAGGTTATTTACTGATCAGCTTTCATGTATATTATGACTACATAAGACCAAGAAGGTCATCGTTTTAAACTGATCGATACTGAAAAAGTCACTTTTTAGACTGACGTGATACTATGGTATGAGCTACGTATATATCCACATAGGTAGTATATAACGATAGTCATGAATAGAATGTATTCTAATAAAAGATCGAGAGGGAAAGAATGGGGACGGAAAACAATTGGTATGCAAATGTAGGAACAATAAATCTGAGACAATGGACTGATATTTGCAGACGAAACAGTCAAGTTTGAGACAATTGATTGACATTTTGCAAATTAAATATTTACTGTATGATTCTCAGATTTAGTGAGATACTCTGTAATTTTGCACGCGAATACATTCGATTAGTTCCGACACATATTCTTGTTCTCTACAATGCCATTTAACAAGTTTAGAAAATTTGATTTGATGTGAAATTTTTATATGAGAAAAATTCGCAAAACTAATTTTTACAGATCTACTTGGTGTTGTCTTACTTGTATCTTTCCATTGTCCTGAATTCCACTAATAGCCAACATCCATCTTTAAGTTTCACAGAATTTTTTTAGAATCTTAGCATGATATCTGAGTAGATAATTTAATATTTCATGATATTTGTTTTTATAAATAATCAACAATTCTTATCAAAAATGATAATATCAACCTTATATTGCATATCATACATAACATTTCAATTTAGAAAAAGAGGTTTGTTTAGTTTAAAGATTTGTCACATTCAGATTGACTTTAACGATACAACCATTCACACCACAGAACACATGGTAACTTTTTCATCTTAGTATAGGACTCCCTCGCCGTACACATTAAATACCTTGTAACATATTGCTAATGTGTAATATCTGCAATATTAAACAATCTTCACAAAAATGCATTCTTAATAATGATCATGTATTCACAAGCTACTAATCTTGGGGAAGATCGCTGAAATCTTAATACGAACTCATAGGAAGTTGGGTTCAGTATTGTCTAGAATGGACAAGCATTAGCGTTGGCATTGGATGACGACTATAGAATGTCACGAAACAAGTGGAGTTTAAAATTATAACCATTGTATTTCAATTCAGTGATCTGAAGACAAACGTTTGCCATGTGACCTTATGAGGTCATGAGTCCCCACTGCTGATGAGTTTTGTTCTACGATGAAACAGCCAATCAATAATCTCTAATTTTCAATGAGTACTTGTCTATAATCAATTTACTATGCAAATTACTTTTAAATTGTAAGATGTTAACTAATTCTTTCCATTTGTTTTTATTGAAAATATAAAAAGTAAGTAATTCGGTTTTATTCATATTTAGTTCCAAATGTAAGATATTAAATACGTAAATATTAATTTGATTGAAAATGTATAAAATTGTAATTTAAATGTAAAAACTGCAGTAAAAAGCAGTAAATACTTCTAGTACCTGACTTCACAAAAGATGACATACAAATCCCCATGCATAAAGTAGAGCCCTGAACTTTCATGTATTGTGGCGAGCACGAAACGTTTTAGTCACTAAGATCTAGTATTAACAATTTTAATAAGTGGTTCAGCATTTAATACTTCACTACAGTCACAATAAAATATTTATCTACTGTGTAAATAAACAATACTCAATGCCAAATATTTACTCAAATAACTTTCAACAATCGAAACAACGCCACTTCTATTTCTGGTAATTATCATACCAAAGTATTGTTTATCATAAGTATTTCCAGCTAATGCCGGATATGATGGAATAATATAAATAATCATCAGTTGGTGTATGACTTTTAACTTTGTCATATATTAGTTATTTTCTATCTAATAAAATAGCTTGGTTACACTATTTGAGTTGCATACTTTAGATTAAATTATTAATTTACATTCTTGAACAAAGTAGTTAATTAGTTTGCTAGTTGTTTTGTCTTCTAAAATTTACTTAGTTCGAATTTTGAAATTAAATTAGCAAGTAAAAACAGAACAAACTTGTATTAGTGTCAAATAAAAACTGAAATTGAACTTGAATTCTCCAACAATGTTCAACTACAAGATCTTTCGATTCGACCTTAAAAAAACACTACAAAATTTATTGTTTCCGTAAAGTGTTGAAATTATAAGAAACAGAAATTGTTTATTTACTCATTCCGTAAAATGAGTTAAACATAATGGAGTATTGTACAATGTTTTTGAAATCATAGCTTCAACTTGTTCAAATGAATGAATAGCAAATATTAGTTAATATACATTAACTTACATTATAAATGACTTGATATTTATCTGTAATATGTTTAAACCAGCAATAATAATATAATATACTGATTTACGAGTTGGTAATGAGTGGAAATAAAGTTACTGAGTATTTCTTATTCGTACTTACTTATTATTACTTATTCGTATTAAGTGAAAAACGTTAATGAAAAGAATCATAACATATGTGTAATTTCTAATGATTCAATACTCTATATAAAAGGCTTAGAGTATGTAAATGTAATTATAACTCATATACTTTATGCAATATTCTAGACTTCTATATTTTTGAAACATGAAAATAAATTTATTATAAGCGAATTCCTTCCTAACAGAAATCGTTTCACCCATTAAGTCTAAAGTTTACATTTCCAAGGTTAAAAAAAGTACTATCTCATTTGAAGTATTATTGCTATGATCATATTGGGGGGGGGGTCCATAACAAGTATTTGCAAAAAAAGACTGCGATACAGATTTTAGGATGTTGTTATATTACAGAATAACATCAGCTGATAAACGACTGAAATCGAGAAAGTATAAGTGAAGTGAATGTGTTGTGTTAAAAAAATGGGGAAATTAATTCCTTTTGTAATAATTAATAATGAATTGTAAGTTATTAAGTTTTCGTTCTCTATCCACTGAATAGTTTCTTTTTGAGGAACAACACATGGATATAAAAGATTTAATGCAGGATAAAAACTGAAAATATAGATTTATGTAATAGTAAAACTGTACTAAAATATATACTTGGACATATTAATCTGAAAAGATCGTTTTGTTTACATTAATTAGTAACCAGATTTTGAGTACGGCTCATTACTGCTTATTTCACAACTTACTGTATAAAAGCGGTTTATAGATGTTTCACAAATGAAATGTCACAATGAACAAAGATGAAAGACATGCTCAATCCTAATAATGATCCCTTCTCTAAAAAAAACAATGTTTTATGACCGAAATTCAATGATAATATCAACATTTTCCCACTCAACTGTAATTAGAAATCTAAACTATTGAATTTCTAAAAGTACCATACTCATAGCAAAACCCGAGAATGGTTTTAAACTCGATACCATTTATGGTCATGGTAACGCACAAATGCTGAACCTCAAAATAAAGTGATACAATTGTCCGTTGATTGTTAGTTTTCAACAATTTCCCAAATGATGTCAATATATGATAAAAACTGTTAAATATTTTCTACAGTCTCGAGGTTGTTTTAAATCTCAAACCATCTATTTATGCTTTGACACAAGTAAACTTATTTCAAGTTTATTTATTAAAAAAAACTATTCATCTGTCATTTTCATGTTGATATCCAGGCATAACTTACTACATGCTTTATAAAGTGGGACTATTCGTTTAATTTCACAAGTGGAAAAAGTTTGGGTATTTATATATTGTAACTTAATTTTGGACTCTCTCTAATAGAATAATCAATTGTAATTCTAACTAAATGAAGCAAATGTATGCAAGAATTTACAACAGTTGATTTTAAAAACACTTATTACAGGTAAAATGTAAATCAGATAACTCATATCTAACGGCGAT